AAACTGTTTTTACAATGACCCTTTTAAGCGTCTGTGGGCACATCTACACAAAATGCTTACTGTGCAGTAGCCTAATAATACTCTGCAGTAGTGTGCTGGTCAAAAACTATACAGTACTGTGCAGTGTTATTAGGCTACTGTATAGTAAGCATCACAAAAAAAGTGTGCCAGCACTACTGTGCAGTAGCTGTAGTTACTGCGCATTTAGTTTGTACTTCATTAAGCAAGTCCTAAACTAAATGTGCAGTAACTACTGCACATTAATGAACATGTAGACACACCCATATTGAATTTTGTTGCTTCCCTATATGCTACTCTCAGAAGGGCTACTGGGGACGCAGTGTTTAAAAGAAACATGATGAATATTAATTCTCTGAACTCGTGGAATCAATGCATAATTTTCTGTGAGCATGAGTCAGGATTGGTGATTATGGTAGGACTATACAGTATCTATTGACTTTAGTCTGGAAGTAGTCATTAAAAAGAATACTAAAGAATATGTGTTCAGTCAAACCCCTAGAGATATTGGCCTTTTGAATAGATAACTAAAGATGAAAATAATCTCTTTGAAATTCTTATGAAAATGCAGAAGTTAGTTTAAAAGACTTGTATCAAGATATAGTAGATATAGCCATACATTTTGTGATTCACATTTTGTGATTTAAACATGTGTTGAGTTTGAGCTAATTAAACATGTTAGTGGGGATTTTTAGCTAGTACAGTTTTCCCAAAGTTGGAAAACAACATGATCCAAATAGAACAAAATACTTATTTACTGTATGTATGGATGTTTCAACAGATTGATAGCTCCATGGAAGAGAAACTGACAGATTTTTGGAACTGTAGAGTGAAAAGCCAAAAGCTGCTATTAACTTGCAAAAGCTGTTTAATGTTACCAAGTCTTACTGACTTTTTTTGTATTTAAGCTTTTGATCCATACTTCAATAGCTGCAAAGTTTACAGTAGAGCAGGATGGATTTTTTTAAAATTAAAATTTAACCATGGGAAAAATGTTAAGAAAACCTGTAGATTTCCTTTGCAATTTCCCTCTCTTATTTCTAATTTGTAATTTGGTCAGATTCATTTTAAAAAGGTTTATCATTGCTTTGATCTGCAGTTTCCTCTCTGCTTGTTAAATAAGTATAATTTTGCTTAATTGTAACTGTAATTCAGATTCAATGTGTTTTGAGGGAAAACAAAGCCTGAATGTTTATTCTGAGAGATAACGAAAGTATAATTATCAAAGGAAGTAGGTGGGGTCCTTTAGTCCATAAATCTGTGATTCTCAAGCCTGATAATCCATTAAAATGAGTGATTCTCAACCCCCGGATGCCTTGAGATCCTTTCAAGAGTGGCATGGGGTACCATAGAATGTTATTACCGGTAGGTGTACAACATGATTCACAAGATAAAGCCAGAGATTACAAATAGGAATACATAGTGTTAAAAACATTCTGACTTGTGGCTTTTTTGAGTTCTTCACAAAAGAACTGCTTTGTTGCCACAAAAAAGAATCAACACTATGAGGGGTGCCTTGAGTTAATTGATGGATCCCTGGAGACAGTCAAGGAGTGCCTTGAGACTAAGAAAGTTAGGAAGCATTGCCATAGATAAATCAAAAGCTAAAGGAAGCGACCTGGGTAGGAGCTGAGGTGGCTTCCCAACTATACAAGATGCCATAGCTGGCAGATTACAATTTTTGCTGATGAAGTAAGAGTCCTTAAGCATTTCAACCATGGCAGTAAGACAAGATGACTAACTGCTTTAATACACATACTTTGCACATCAAGAATAATATTTTAAAGTTTTACATGATATAGTTGTTCTGGCAGTTTCTTCGCTAAAACTTTATGATTACTTGTAATTTTTCTGTCTTTTTCTCTAAATTTGATTTTTAGGAGACAAAGAAAGAGAGAAAGAGGGGTGAGTATGAGAGAGAGAGTATTAGAAGAAAGTGCTATGTACAACAGTAATTTACAAATCTAAGAAAACAGACCATTTCTATCTCTGATCAGTTCTTTTCATGTTTGTATTGCTGAATCCACAAAGCTATTTCAAAGCTATTTATAACAGATCCCTTAACAAAATCAGGATGTATCACCATAAAGTATTAGATATCTAATCAGGATGTATCACCTGATTTAGATATCTAAATCAGGATGTATCACCATAAAGTATTAGATATCTAATCAAGTGCCCCTAATAACCGAAACATATACATTTCTGAGCAGTAACCTTTATAATATAGGCAACTGGGTTTTTTTCTGGCAATGAATCATTAACTTTAAATCAAATGTTTCCTCAGAATAATTAAAAGCCTTGATTTCATTTCTTCAATTTTTTTTTCAAGTTTGATACTCATCAAAAATATTAACAAAACAGTGAACTTATAGTCAGTTCTTAAATAATAATGTTGAACATAAGTGGGTCTTAGGGACAGAGTCTCAGCTGAGGTAACTTGTCACAGCTCCATGAAAACCAACAAAGCTGTAGGCTTTCATACCAGCTCAGGCTCTAATTCTCATGTATAGTTAAATGATGTGTCCTGTTTGTAAAGAAAATGTAACTCAGCTTCACTAATTAAAAAGCAGGGAGAGAAAAAAAAAGGACAATTTTTCTGGTATCACAGAGAATGGTAGCAAAGCAAAGACTTAAAAATATATATATTTTAAATAAAAGGAGGGTAGGTATAATACACGTGCATTTTGGCTTTAAAGGTATGAAAATAAACATAAACTAGATATTGCTAGTAATACAGGCTGTCGTTTTGGTGAGCTAATATATCACAATTAACAATAAATGTGATCAAGATGCATTTTGATTAAAAAATGCAAATGATAACGTTCCTTACTTTTAAATGAAAGTCATACCTAGCCATTTAGTAATGATTCTTTTACTTTTTATAATTCTGTTAAGTTAGTTAAATATTTATAATGGCAACCTTTTAAATGACAGTATTTAATGTAAATCAAGAAATGTCTCAAGCCAATGTAGGCAGACAAAAGCCCAGCCTCTGGCTTCTTTACTTTTCATTCCATCCAGGAAGAGCACACACTAAGTGCAGAAACTTCCTCAGTCTGACAAAGGGTTTTTTAACCAGAAAGCTTGCTTAAATATTTTTTTTCCAAATATTTAAGTTGGTCTAATAAAAGATATCAGATTCACCCAAAGAACCTTGTCTGCCTATGTCCTTAAACCAACACGGCTACAACCTACATCTTTGAGCCAATGTAGGTTTATATAAAATGTAGGCATCTTTACCAGGTTATTTTTGGGTAGAAATACAATTCCATGCAGTGACCCAGATTCTCTCCCTGATTTTCCTATACATATAGATCCCCACTGCCCAAAGAGACGGGGAGGGATACCACTTCTATTATACAGTATAATCTATAGGGAAGTTAGAACAGTCTGTGGGGTTATGAGGCTTTGGAATTAGACTGGGAAGCAAACAAATGTCACCCTCACAATGTCCAGAAGACTCTAAACCCTTCCTTGCCTGCCTTAAAAACTCTTCTTGGAAGTTTCCCCTTGTTTTTCCATGTTTTCCACACAATATTCCCCTGCCCTTCCCCACTGCCATTGTTTTTTTCCATGGGAAATAACTTGAAGTGCTCACTGATAAAGCAGGTTTGAGTCATGTTTTCAAAACCACTCAAGATGAGATTTTTCCAGTGCCAAAGCCCAGGAGTGGAGTTACATTTTCAAAAGCTGAGTATCCAATATGCTGAGTTCTTTTAAAAACCTGACTCCACTTATGACATTTGAATCTCTATAGACATAAGCCGTTTATTATTAAAATAGTCTAGGCAGCTATCCAGAGATGGCATTATCAAAACAAAACATTATTTCAGATCAATAAAAATATTCTAAGCCTTCTTAGTTTATATCATCATTATTTATATTGCACCCAACTGTGTCGGGATACTTCATAGAACACAGAAGAGACACAGTTTCACCCCACAGCAGTCATAGTTTAAATACAGACAAAACATAATAATAAGAAAGAAAAGTGTTGGAAGGCAAAGATGGAAAAATAGAGGATGCACAGAGAAGAAACTGTTGCTTACTTTTACTCTTTTAGGTCAATGATTCTCAACGAGGGTGTCAGGGCACTCTGGGGTGCTGCCAGATCATTTGAAAGGTACCAGTGCCGAGTTGTGTGAGGAGATAAGCAGATAAATAAAGCAGATAAGCCAGGTGCAAGATTGTCTCTATCTGGAAGATCCCCCACCCCTGCCATCCAGCCCCTGCGTAAGGAGCTATGTACTGTAATATATAAATTAGTTTTTGAAATTGGGTGCCACTCAATTCACAAAAGTTATGGAGGGGTGCCTCAAATCTAGTGAGGGGTGACTCAAGTCCAAAAACATTGAGAAGCACTGTTTTCGGTAATTAAAAAATATATATATTTTGTTTCTTATTGACTTTTGAAATCCTAAAATAATTTGTCTGCTTTCAAATAAATCAATCAAATAACAATGTACTTTTAAAGACACAAAGGAGTGTTAAGCAAACCACTGCTACTGACAAAGGGAATTCATCACTATTTGCTTCTCTCTCAGTTTCCCAAGTTAATAATTTTAGACTGAACTAAGATGCATAAGCGTTTATTTTATAAAACTTGAAGACTTTAAACTGGTAGAACTAGGATCTAAGTAAGATACTTCCTTATCAGAAAAGGTAACAAAGGCATTCTTACAGATTAGAGGTTACCAAGTCTGACTTCCATTTCAGAAAACCCACGGAGAATATTAACAGGAACAAAATAATACAGCCTACAGGGCACATCTACACGTGCATTTACACTGGCTTAAATTTACTGCACAGTAAATTACTGTACAATAAGTGGGAATAGGCTGGCATCTACACATGCAGGCATTAAAGTGCATTAACACTGCTGTGTGTGAACTGACTTGGGACTAAAGTTAGACCACCAAATTTTTACAATGAATACCGTAGACTAACTTTAGTACCAAGTCAGCCCACAAACACATACACAGTGTTACTGTGCAGTGAGGCATCTACATGTCCATTACTATGCAGTAACTAATCAGGCATAATTTTTTTATACCTGCATGATGCAGGTATAACATTTATGCTCAAGTCTGCGTAAGTCACTATATTTACTGCACAGAATGGGTGTGTATGTGTAGATGTGCACCTGTACTGTGCAGTAATTTCAGTTACTACACAGCAAATGCACATGTGTAGACATGCCCACATTGTATGAAATATCCTCCTCAAAATCACTTTTATACATATTCATTAATGTACTTTGCTTATGTTTGTTTGTTCAGATTGAGCCTTCCTGTATGCTGTCTGAGAAAAGGCCTGATTTATCTCCCACAAAAATTAATCATTTCAATGGACTTTGAATCAAGCCTAGAGAGAGTAACTTCTCTCTCCTAGACAATTTTATATGTGACTTCAAAATTAGCAGCTAGAAATAAATGCATAGTCATTACAAAGTATGCTTCTCTCAATGACAAATTTCCTATTGACTTTAATGAGAGCAAGTTTGGGTGTATCATTGGCAACAAAGGATCTCATGAAAAGAATAAAGGGTTATAAATTTAGGACTAATAAAAGGCAGACTTTCTTTATATAGAATATCATCAACCTGTAGAATGCATCTTCAACAGGAGGTCATTAGGGGACTAAATTTAAAAAATGACTGGATAATTTAACAACCATTATTAACATTTGTTGCTAAGCAAGCTTAGACAATGATGTGAGTAATCAAATTTCAGGCTTCAGGGCATAAGCTGATTGCCTACAAGAGTTAGGAAATAATTGGTCCTCTCATTTCTTAGCTTTACACATTTATCTAGGCACACTATGAAAGGGGACAATTACTTTCTTCAGAATCATCAGATACTGGTCACTGACTCATAGAGAAAATGTTAGATCAGATAGAATAATACTACTTATGAGCCATACCCTTTTGTTCCTTTTTATGCACAATACCACAATGATCTCAAATAAAAAATTCTCAGAGATGAATGGCTTGATATGGCACTATCCTACTAAATATTAATTTTGTTATGCATTTAGGTTTCCTATAACAATTGTGGGAAGTGGAAGATAAGACAAGAAACTTTGATTGCTAGTATTCAAATTTGTTTGAGAGCTTTTTTTGTGGCCTTTTTCAATTCAGAAAGTAAAACAAAAGAAAGAGCATTCATGATCTTCATGGGAGAAACCCACATTGTTTATCAAAAAAGTTCTAAATTACAGAAAATCTGTGGAAGCCAAAATCTTCCCAATTCAACCTTTCATCTATAACAACAGATGTATACATTTTTCTGACCATTTTTACTAAAATTATAAAGAAAAAAATTAAAAGAGAATGCACACAGTAACCACTTCCCTGAAGCCCACCAAATTTCAGTCCTGTTTATTTATCTTTTTGTATACATCATTGTACAGAATAGTGCATATTTACTTTTCCAGGAATAGGAATAAGGGTTTATTGTGTACTGTATTTTTACAATGAATATTGTAGATTAGATGTAATGTAACCATGTGCATAATATACAAGGCTGGTTTATTACCCTGCTATAGTTATATTTTGATAGATTATCCAGACTTTCACTTTTCATATTTCACTGAAAATTCATAGGAACATCTGAGTGGGAAGCTGAAGAGTTCTTGCATCGACTGAAAAATGTGAGAACATCTGCTAGTTTCCAAAGTGATTTCTTGGCTGCACTCCAGAGCTGTAAGCCTTACAACTAAACAGCTCCACCCTCTCACCAATGAAGATCACTTGCATCAGATGGAAGTATTATAGCTAGTTCAAAGGAGATAGAGATATTCTGGTCATTAATGAAAACAAATACAGTGAAAAATGTTTAATTTGACATAGGTTCAGGAAAACAACCAGTTTAAGCTGTTTCCAAGCCCTTCTATAAAGTTCATCTGGTATATTCTAGCTGCTTTCCTCTAGAAATGTTATATTAGGTTACAGCTTATAAACATAAAACAGTGTTATAATACTCACTATTGAGATTGCTTCAAACCCCAGGTGCAACTTTTGTTGTAAGGTCTTACAAGTGCTCTAACAGCATATTGTATTGCATAACCAAGACCAGAAGTGCCAGGAATAAATGTTGAGCCAAGTACAGGTCAAATAAACTTTATAATGATAGAATATGAGATGGTCTGGTCCAGCTGTGCACATAGTGCAAAATGTACAGAGTAGAATGCTGTTACAATAAATATTTTCCCTATTTGGGGTTTTTTTTTCCCTTCACTTGGGTCATATAATTTTCTTTCATAATAAATTATTAAAAAATGATATTTTTTTCCAGCTCAAAACAAAAACAATTTTAAAGCTGTGGAAGCTACCATAAAATTTATATTTCAGTTCCTATACAATGACAGCCTGAGATTGGTCACTCAACGAATAATTTGACCTCAATTTCTCTCTGTATTTCAGTGGTCTAACTGTGAAATAAGAGCTAATTAATAATTATATGGGGGGAAAAATCATGTTTAAGAAGTGCTCACATACTATAGTAATAAGCAACATGGAAAAGTCTACTAGGAAATTAATAATTCTCTCTTCAGTGCAGGGTAAATTAAGTGTCCATAGGCATGACATTATACATTGAATAATGAGCAAAAACCAAAATACTGAATACCTGCTCAGTTAATAATGACATATGTATTGAATGAGGCAGGGATTTGACATCCACCAATAGAACTACACTGAGTTCAATAAGCTTCGAAAACAAGCCCTGAATCCAGTAATAAAGGGATCCTTTCATTTTATGATAAGTTGCTTGCATGCCTATACCTGAAATCTCCTTAAAACACCCTTTACTTTTCAACATGTGGATATGCCATAGGCCATTATTGTACTAGATGCACAACAAAAGGAGGTTCCAGTCCTGAGTGGAATTTCTGGTCCATGCTAGATAAAAATACAAACTAACAACAATAAAATTAGGTGCATCTACATGTGCCGTGTGCTTTTATGACATGTGTAGATATTCAAACTGCTGCAATATAGGGTGGAGATGCAAATGGCAGGCACAGGACCCCAGCAATTTGAGCCAAGGTAGAGCAGCCCCAGGTTGGTGGGGGAGGGTGGGGTGTCAGCCCCAGGCTCCAGAAATTGTCAGCTGGTGACAGAGGCATGAGATTGTCCCAGGTTGCAGAACCCTGTGGCTAGGCAGCAGACAGGCATCAAGCCCCTGCTGCTTAGGCTGACCAGACACAATGTACACCCAGGTCAGAATTTACAAGTTCATTTAGGCATGGTTATTTTAGCTACTGTTAGATAGTACCATCAAGGACAGTACTATCTTACAGCTCTGGAAATAAGTTTGCTGTGGTCTAATAGCGTCACATGTGTAGACTATGATGCTTTACACTGCAGTAAATCAGTCTGCTGTGCAGTCAAGCACACATATAGATGCACCCATTTGTAATTAATTTCTTTACCTTTGCTTGCACTGATAGGCATGATCTGATATTCTTTACTTAGTTAAGGTAGTGTAAGAACAATGTTGTAGCTGTGATGGTACAAAAGTTATGTGAGAAGCAAGCATTTCTTACAGTAATTTCTTTTATTGGCACAATTATGTAGTTGGACAGAATAAGACAAGCAAATGCAAGACATTAGTCCTTAGGTCAGACCTGAGTACATAAAAAATATCACCCTAAGAAATCCTTGCCTCTCATATTACTTAGTTAATATACTTCATGTTTTCTATGGAAGTTATGCCTGCCTAATAACTGCATTATCAGGTATTATATCTTCATTTTGCATTAGTGAACTAGAAAGTTTTTGCAGGCCTGCATTTCAAAGAACATATTTAACTATAATCCGAAAAAATAGAAGGAAGTGGCAAAGGAAAGAAAATGGCAAAGGAAAGACTCTGAAGAAACCAAGAATACTTACTGGGAGTGGGCCTCTAGCCAGTGGGATTTGCCCAACTGCAGCGGCATGTCCACACAGCAACAGAATCTCCCAACCCACCCCAGCACCATTTTACCACCTTGCTGGGTGAGATAGATTGGCCTAATTAAGTGGCTGGGGCTATTTCTGGCCCTGGGAGACTGGACAAAGGAAGAAAAGGAGAAAGAGAGGACAGCACAGGCAGATAGGGTAGATACCGATCTGCTGTCCAGACCTGAAGTCCCCAGGAATTGGACAAGAGACCTGCTGGGTCTGGCGAGCTCAGAGGAGCTCACATATAAAAAAAACAAAAAACAAAAAAAGGAAGAGAGAGACATTTCCACATTAATTGACTGCTTTGGGTGGTCAATTAGGCTGGTGTGGCGTCAATTACTGCAAGTTAAAAGAAAAAAAACCCTGCTTGCTCGCGGCTCTGGTGATCAAGCACTTGTCGGTTGCAGGCAGGGAGAAATGAGAAGCTGCCTCTGAGTTCCCTGCAGCAGAAGAGGAACCACTGTATGGACAGTAAGTTTTTCATTAATTCTATTGTTCTTTGCAAAGAATTTTGTTGTGTACCTGGTTGGGTCCTGGGGCAAGTGCCAGCCAACGCTGGATCAGGCAGTCATCATCCCTCCCCCCATTAATTAAGTCATCAAAGTCATGGCAAGCAAGATAAGAGTAGGGAAGACCAGCTGTGCCAACTGGCATTGGCCTTGGAAAAGAAGAAGGCCAATGAATGTCAATGGGACACAAAGGCCCACGGTTATCTCCCGACAAAGACCTTTCCCTTTTTTTGAAAGTATCTTGCATTTGTATTAATATTATAAAAGTTCTTTTGCTTACTATTACAGTACCTGTGATTCTGGAAGTTATCATGTCTGAAAAATACTTTTAAAGTTAAGAAAACAATACTGAGAATTTTTATTAGATTTTTTTTTAAAGTCTTCCTTCAGGCAAAAAAATAAACATGTTGCATTATTGCTCAGACAAAGCATAAATACAACTCTCCTTATGTCAGACCTTGAAATTAGGCCTTCTTTCCTGTCCTTCTCCAGTCTCAATCTATTTGCTAATGCTTTAATAAGGTTATTAAAAGACAATAAA